AAAAAAAAAAAAACAAAAAAAAAAAACAAAAAAGGAATTGCTTTGAAATTGCCCCTATACCTACAACCCCAGCCACTTGTAAATCACAGCCAGAAACCAACACTTCCTTCCTTTCTCTCAAGCACCCTCATGAGATCCTGAGCCCCAACTCCATAATATGCTTACCCACGGAGCCAGGCATGGACCACTCTGCCCAACAGCCACCAAAGTGCCTCAGTTGCTCCTTCTTGTCATCTGAGATTCATCAGCTTCTGTACTAGGGCAGACTAATACTTTCCACTCTTCTCTCTAATCTGTCTTCTCCATGGCTACCTATTACCCTCCCAAGTCCTTTCCCTGCCTGTGCTCTAGGTACTTTAGGCCTTTTACTTAGACCTCAGTGCCTCCTGTGTGCCAGCCAGTGGGGGAGCACTTTCACATTGTATCTTCTTTATGGGGTAGATACTATTTTATCAACATTCCTGATTGCTTCAGGATGCCTGGATTTAACCTTCCCAGATTTCTCTAGTCTATATGTCCTAGACACACCTGTTCCTTGCTATCCAGACTTTACTGTTCATTTTCTAGTCTAGCCACACCATCTATGTCATGACTTTTCACTGAGACAGATACTCAGATGCAGGACAGCAAAACACAGAGCTTGTAAACAGAATGGCTCTTGACAGTCCCCTCCCCCAGAGCCTCACTATGTACAGTACTCGGAGGGTTGCCAATGGACAGATGCAGACACCGGTCAAGCACAGCTAATGACGCTGTCCTCTGAGGACTGATTGTTTCAGAAAGGGATATGGGAGACCTCACAGAAAGACAGCAGAGCCAGTGCCTGTGGGCCAAAGCTCCAGGAAGGCAGACTTTCACCCACAGGGAGAACTTCCCATTGTAAAAGCGGGGTCATCGGCCGGCTTGAGAAGTAGGTATATTTATGCAGAGGCTAGAGGGTTACCTGGCAAAGATATTGCAGAGAATATTCCTCCACTAAATATGAGGTAGATAAAATGAACATTAAGGTTCCTCCTAACCCTGAGAACCCAGGATTCCAGGAAAAAAAACCTCAAAGATCTTCACTGGAAGAACTTGGACTTTCCAGGATCCACTCAAAGCAGTGATCCTACCATGCAGGCTGGGGCCAGCTCTCCTCAACCACAGAACTACACCACATGTGTGAGATACTCAAAGGACAGGAGACTGAAACTACCCTACCTAAAGCTCTGTGTTAGAGCCTGGGAATGTCCTTGGCCACCCTTGATGGTGCCTAGAGAGCTTCTCCTGCCCTGACTCCACCGAGATTGTGTACTGAAGACTTCTCAGGGATATGCAAGGCCTGGAGAACAATCCCCAAGGACTGGCCCTTGCCAGGCTGAGACACTCTGGCTCCTCCCACAAGCCTGCTGTCTGCTAGGAGCTGAGGCCTAGTCCCTGTGGGTTTGGCTACCATGGGATCTGTCTCCAGTCACCAAGAGGCTCCTGGGATGCCGAATTACACACGAGTCTGGCCACTCAGGCGTCACTGCCAAAGTCTGGCCTGTAGCCAGCCTGGGGCAGCAGCCTACAGTCAGACTGAGCAGCAGTTTCTCTCAGGAAGTGAGGCTGACTCAAACAGGTAAGAATGTGAAGTCCAGTGCTTGTGGCCAGCTGCACATAAAAAGGAAGGGGGAAATGGCCTGATGGCAGTGTAAGAAAAAAACCTGAACAACCCTGGGTTTATAGGGCGACCGGAAGTTCAGGGTTTGTGATGCTGCTGCCAAAATCTGATGTGGCTGGAGGTACAGCAGTGTCTCCGTGAGAGGAGTCAAGGTCCTCTGCTTCTTCAGCTAAGCAAGTCTCATGAAAAAGCACTGTCACCACTTCCAGTTACCTCTTTTAAGGTACACGCTAACAGAATAAAATGTGTCTCTCGAGCAGATAAGAAGGTGTGAAGTCTGAAAACAAAAATCTTTCTTCATGTGACTCTGGACAGATTAATCTCTGAACGTCAGTTTCCCAAATGGATAGACTAAAAGGACAAAATGGGGTAACTGTGAGAGCACCCAGGGCTTGCACAAGACTTAAGACTAGAATCTGTATCCCAACAAGGGTCAAATTTGGGAGTAGTGAGCTTCTTGGCACAAGAGGCATTTAAGGACCTGGACAGACTCCAGGCAGAGATGCTGTGGAGGGGTGTTGAAAAGTTACGGGCAGATGACTTCCAAGGGCTCTTTGGGCTCTGGGCACCCATTAATTCCATTTTTCAGTTCTTTGGGTATCTGCGATGAGACAAGAGATAAACCCATCTCAATAGTGCAGTCTTGAGCCCAGCAAGACCCAGGGCTGCTGGTCCTAAGCAGAGATGCCCACAGGCCAAGGCTTTGGGGGGCCTGGTAAGGACAGCAGGCTCTGCTCTCCACCAAAGCCAACTAGGCTGGTATCCTGCTGTGCAGAACCCTCAGGGCTTTGCTGATTGGAGAAGCCAGGCGCCAAGATAGAGCTGGTGAAACGCAAGCCTCCCCAGGTCAAGGGAGGAGAGCAAGTGTTTTCCTTATACAGGGCCACACACGCTCTGTTCTCCACATTCCTACCTTTCCCTGTGCTGCAGCGGAGGAATCAAAGGGGCTGGACACAGGACTGAGCAAAACTCTCTAGACTGGGGCCCAGAAGACTCAGCTCTCCTCCGGGGCAGCCATGTGACTGTGGGCACGCCATCTGCCTTCTCTTTGCAGATATGTAAGCAAAGACAGGACTGCTAGCCCAACCCATATCACATAAGGGCCGTGAGCCTTAAAATAATGACAATGCTTTTTAAACTATAAAGTGCTCAGTAAAGCAGTGATAAAAGTGAGCATCACTACTATTACTTGAACAATAGCAAATATCATTTCAGAAGAATGAAGTTACATTGTGAGAACTGCAGGCATCAGTGGAGAAGACACTGCCGGGTAGCTTCCTGTCACCTGGTACATGGTGGTTTCGTGTGCAGAGTGTTTGGGGCTGGGCCATACCATGCCCTCTGCATATCGCTGACTTAGTTCCAACAAGGCCCCTGCAGATGCAGCAAAGCCAGTTTAGAGAGAGTAAATATTAGCTCTTGAGGTGACTGGGAAGGAAACCACTGGCTTGAAGAAAAAACAAGTCCATGGATGAAGGTCTATGGGTATTTGTCAAAGGCACCTTTAATTTGCCATCCTGTGGCTTTGAGCAGACAAGCAGAGAGACAGGAGCTCCTATCTGAGGTTCCAGCAGGACGGAAGGCTGAGGAAGGAAAGACACTGAGTGACTCAACTCTTGAGGGTTATTGGCCTGAGACCAGCTGCCCCCACCAAGGAGGAAGGCCTGTGCTTGCTCAGCATATCTGAGACAGGAAATTGAGAAAGGGTCCCAGGGTCTGGCCCCAGGACAGGGGCCAGGCCAAGCTCCTTGCCGGACAC